GTTGTCCGCTTTCCCAAGCAATGCGAACAGACAGGCACGTTAGCGTATGTACGCATAAACCCCCTCCGTCAATTCAAATACGTAACATGCTGGCATATCTCAGAAGCAAAATCCGATGCTAATCATATCGAAATGTTTCGGGGAAAAAAACGCTGCTGACGGACGGAGCACTCTCCACATGTTGGGAACGGCCGTCCCATAACTGTCGTTCTCATGCTCTCTGCAGCCCGTTCCGAAGCTGGTGTGCCGCGGGACAACAACCAAACGGTCCCAGTCCAGACACAGAAACGCTTCCGCAAGCCCCTCAGCAAACGGTACGAACCCATATACTTTAATTTGACAGCGCACCACGAGAGGCGTCCCAGCATCTCCCGGACCGGGCGGTTAAGGCCTACGAGTCCACCAGTGCGCCGGAGGGGTACTCTCCGGCGGCATGCCAACTGACTGCGACGGCAAGGCGCAGCGGCAGGGTACAGAGCGACATTCGGACAACACAGCGACACAGCACACGGGACGCGACTGTGCGGTTCTTCCGCACGAGCCAGCGAGGCGGCTAAGCGCGTTCGGCCGGGCGGCGTACCTGTCTCCAGGCCCCAGATGGTGCACGTCGTGTCGATGGATGAGGTGCCAATCAGGTTCAGGTCCACCTCGTTCCAGTCAAATGACGTCAGAGGCGCGCAAAAGTCCGAGTTCTTGTTCTGAAATATTAGAAAACTGGCTAGCACGCGAAACTCCACGTCTTTGTTCACAAACAAGACGCAGCTCACAGACACGCAAAGTTAGTGTTCTTGTTCCGAACAAACAACCACGAAAACAGCACGCTCAGTGTAAATGTCACTCAGAAACTCGTCTGTGCAAAAATCCCCAGGCCTTCTCCTTAAACCAGGCGCAGAAGTAGTTCTAGGAGTTAACGCTGCGGCTCAAAGTGTGGTAGTCTATATTACATCGACGTGCAAGCTTTTGACACCAAAACTTTAATGTTGCATTCGTTTAATTTCCCTGTATTTACTTTCACGGTGAGGAATGCAAAGGATGCAAACAACAGCCATCACTGCATACTTGCTGACATAAAACGCCTTCCACACACTTCCACACACTTACTTGATTCGACAACTTGGCTCTTGGTCTTACATATGCACAGCACTTCGACCTCTACTTTATTTTTCTTAGGCACTAACTCGATTTTAAACACCCTCTGAGACCATAACTTATCCTTGACGCCAGCTTCCGCAGAAATTTCCATTCACACACCTACTGAAACTGTCAAAAACCATTCTCATCTCACCCCAGATAAGGCAACCTCTTATTCCCTCTCAATGCATTTCTTCACCTCCCTAAGGCAGCTTTTTTCCCAATCCTCGCTGATGTCTCGGGGGCGTCCTCGTGACGCAGCAGCGTGCTCCGAACCCACAAGGTGCAGACGGCGCAGAAAGTGGACCTTCAAGACGGCTACGCCCCGTTGCACAAACAAGATGAGTATTTTTTCGTTGAACACGGCGCGAACTGCAAAACATAAGCCAGCGTTGCCCACAAGCTGACTGTGGATACTGACATTGAGGCATAAACACCTCTATTGTATTTGGCGCGGGATCAGCGGCGCCTCCGACCGAATCAGCTCTACGGCCGGCGGTCCTCGCCGCAGCACGCAGCCCACTCACGTTGTTGAGGACGCACTCTAGCCGGGTGTCGGGCTCGCCGGCCCGCCAGATACGCAGGTAGTCGCCCGAGGTGGCCAGCAGGTCCGGATACACGCCCTTCTGCAAGACGAACCGACATCGGGGACGGTACAGCGCGGCGGCACCGGAGACGGTACAGCGGGGTGGCACAGGGGACGGTACAGCGGGGTGGCACAGGGGACGGTACAGCGGGGCGGTACAGGAGACGGTACAGCGGGGTGGCACAGAAGACGATACAGCGGGGCGGCATCGCAGTCGGTACAGCGGGGCGGCACCGGAGCCGGTACAGCGGGGCGGCATCGGAGACGGTACAGCGGGGCGGCATCGGAGTCGGTACAGTGGGGCGGCACCGGAGACGGTACAACGGGGCGGCACAGGAGACGGCACAACAGGGCGGCACAGGAGACGGTACAACAGGGCGGCACAGGAGACGGTACAGCGGGGTGACACCGGAGACGGTACAACGCGGCGGTACCGGAAGCGGCACAGTGGGGCGGCACCGGAGACGGTACAACGGGACGGTACAGGAGACGGTACAGCGCGGCGAGATCGGAGATGGTACAGCGGGGTGGCACCGGGGACAGTATGGCGGGGCGGCACAGGACGCGGTACAGCGCGGCGAGATCGGAGACGGTACAGCGGTGCGGCTTGAGCATAGCCACACGATGCGTCATAGGCAAATGACATGGCACGGCGCCGCGGCAAACCAGGCAACGGAACTGACCTCGGGAAGGGGCTGACGATAATCAGCATCATACAAATCAATGCTGATGTCCCACGGCCTACAACTGCTGCTATCGCTGCATATATATTCAGTCTCAGCACCACTCACCGCTACAACCCACGGGTCGGTCCATCACGGGACACCCACGCGTACGCTCAGAGCACGCGTGACGTGTCCACGAACGACACCAACGTGACGCCCGCAGCGCGCTACTCACGCCGTCTGGGATCCACATGATCTTGGTGGTGGGGTAGGGGTGCTCGAAGGTGGAGCGGGCGGAGAACTCGCCGGCGTCCTCGTCCAGCTGTACCACCATCACCTTATTGTTGTACTCCTCGATGAAGCTGCCCACGGCCAGCCTGCGGCATGGAACCGTCCGAGGTGAGGGCGTGAGGAGCTGGATGGGGCGGTCACGTACACACATCCACCGAGCACTGGGGTCGCAGCTGACCGACCTCCTTGGGAGTCGATGCCATTCGATCGGCACGCGGCAACAGCACACCAGGGAAAACACAACGACCTTGGAATCACAAATATCCCCATGCGGTGTCCTCTCGACCCGCATCCACAACTGACCTGAAGCGTTTGTCGGGCCGGACGGACCAGTTCATGCTGTACAGCGTCCATGGCGCCTCGTACTTGTAGATCTCCTTCCGTTTGGGCTGGTGCGAGCCGTGGGCCGCCATTGTGGGCAGGCCCGCGGAGGCGCCCCGAAAGCTGACGGACACGACAGCCCTCAACACCTCCATCACCGATCATCCGGCGTTAAGGCGACGTATATGACACCTCAGCTGGACGCTGGAAGTACCGGTAATGCCAGCAACAAGCACAAGCGAGCACTACCTCTTGGGGTGCGGACAAGTTGCGAGCCATCCAAAACTGTTTTCTCAGTTTGCTTTATCTGGGAAATTGCATTCAAATATTTTTACAACTAATACAATGCTTATAGAGGACATCACTTGACAATAAGACAAAACTATATCCAGCTGGAAAATTAAAATATGATGCTCCATCATACTCATCACATAATCCGTCACATCTGGCAGCCCAACATCAATTGCTCTGCAATGAATGCAAAGTGACTATTAAAATTAATGTTTTAAAAGCACCTTGTCATGTTTGCAGTTTAGAGATGGCCAGAATCCAGTCTGCAAAAAGTGGCACAAGGGTTGGCAAGGCACATCAGGCAGACCAAGATTGCTCACCAGGCGGACCAAGCGTGTGCCGAGCAGGCTCAGTTTAACGCACGAACGCGGACGACAAGTGCGCTGAAAGATACCGAAAAACCCACGACTAGTGGAAATGCACAGCACCATTCAAACAAGCTAAACATAGCTCCCAAAACATGCAGGGAGTCACTTATTGATGAGGGGATTACCATCAATGTTTCATGGCATGGAGGATAGCACTGTCAGAGCAATAAACTCAGTGTATGTCTTGCGACAGTTTGTCTTCTTCAAAGGGTCTAAACAAAAATTAAAAAACAATGTTTTTCAAAGGGCTCAAAAAGGTTCAAAGGGCTTAGAAAAACAAAATATGCGCACACAAGCGCAGGAAGAATAAAAATTACCTGTAAGATTGGTGTTCACAAATGACAAAATATCACAATTTTGTACATCCTTCCATTCTGTCAGCTTATATGTGTACTGCATGATCAACATCTCAGGCTTCAGCTGCTCTTGGAAGGATGCTATTGCACCATCTTTTTATAACCCCAAATATTTTTCAAAGCATTTATGAACTTGGTATGTCTTTGTACTATCTCTCTATGTTTGATGAGCTTCTGAAAGTGTCTTCTGAAACAAGTGTTCTCAGGTATCAACATGGTTATTCCCAATGTGCACTATGCAGACTTGTGCCCAATCCTGTTTCAGTACAACTGATTTGGATGCCACCTAATGTCCGGTGGGTGACGTGGTTAGGCTGCTGCCAACAAAATATGACAGGAATGAAGATCACCTAGACTTGAAAAAATGGGTCAATGTTGGAAACAAACTAGACCCCACCTGAGTTGAGGCAGCAACATAAGCATGACACCATGTTTTACCCATGAAGACCAATAGTAAGTGCACAGTTAATTAACATAGCAAATTATCTGCAAGGTTATGGAAGTCATGTCCTTTATAGGTTCCAGATCCCCATCTTTTAATAATTTTGGTAAATATAGAATGCTTAAAACACAACTACAATTTCCTTATCATTTGCATACTCCAATACTTATTGTTCGACCATCACATCAGGACTTGAATGCTTTAAGCCAGTGTATTGCTGCTACTGCAAAAACTCAGAATATAAAGTTTGAGCATAATTGGGCATGAAACTGGTTCAGCATAATGCATATGACAATTACAGAGCAGGTCATAAATGCAGCTGTAGCAAATAAAGTCTGGCACTGCTGGTGTGGGTACTGTCATGGTGCACAATAAAGCAGAGCATAGGTAATGTCAGAAAGACTGTGCATCATAGCAAAATACAGCCTATAGTGAGTGTGGCATGATTGTGGATCACATACCATTAGAGGTTGGACTTGGCTCAACAAATCACCACAAAATTATTTCAACCATAAAATATCGCCATGCAACATGTGAGTGTTCTTAGTTAAAGAAGAGACAGGCTGCAATCTCTTATTTCATGGTGTTTACACTACATAGGTAGCCACCCAGTTTATCCATGTTTATAAAACAACTTGTGATCTGTCCTTATGTATGTATATATAGATAATGGCCTATGTCAATATCATGTGGTAAAATGCTGTCCTATGGTGACTAGTTGGAGGGCAGAGATACTGGATGTACTGAACAGTAACATGTTTTAAATCAATGCATCCAAGATATTAAGCACATTTTTTGCTTCAAATAGAAGATGGGTCATACATACCCAACAGTGCTAGTTCCTTATCACATTTTGCAGCATTTACTAATTCCGGTATGATAAAAATAGTGTCTGTTATTTCAAAGTTCTATTACATGCAGACCCCATTGTGTACATACAGAAAACTCAAAATGCTGCTGTTGTATGAATTCAGATTGAATTTGCACAGGCCTATTTGTATCTTATGCCAATTGTCAGAATTTGCATTCCATCTTTGTGTATCTGCACCATTGCTCTACAGGCTAGAATGCCTCCTTGGGATATGACTTAGCCTAGCACTATCCAATCTATTGGCCTAAGAACATATCAAAAGTTGAACTTAGTACCTACAACCTCACACACCAGCATAACACTTAACAAAGATGTGCTAAATTTGGCTGGACAGAATCTGTTACTAAATAGATGGTCACTTATCAGCTGAATTTGTTCCACTGCGGCAGAACTCCTGCCAACCATTACAGCTTCCCCAGAATCACACAATAGAAAGGACATGATACTATAACCAAATAACAGGTATTGCAGCACTGGCGAAATGAAGCATGTGTTTACACTAGGAATACCAACAATGTTTACACTGAGCGATCTACCCAATAAGCGTAACAGTGTGGAAAAAGGAATTTGATACATGGCAGCCTGTTCAGAATCGGCTTACACTCCACACCGCAACTTTGGTAATACCACACATACCTCTTTTAAAACAAACGCTGCCTTTTGACCCTTCCTATGTCGTTTGCATCTGACACCACATCGCTATTACCTAACCAAAAATAAAACCGCGGACCAACTTCCACCATAACCACACCGAGGGGCAAATGCAGCGCTCCTCCATGTTTGTCGTGTTACAAAGCCTTTAATGATTTTGTGTAATTCAAGAATAAAACTGGTGTATTTATAGATACAGATAATTTCTTGAAATTAAGTTTTGATAAGCACGTTTTCAGGTCTGCGTTTAAAATGCTATTTATCATATTTTAAAACAGTATTGTGAGCAAAACATCAAGCTATAGTACTATCAACCACCCATAGATGACACCCGCAGCGGCGTTGCTATGACAACAATCGTTGAACAAAATTCTATTGCCCCGGTGGTGCGCCGCTGGAGGAGCACGCGTCCGCACAGGTTGTCGGCTGTTGGGGGCGTTACCCACGCGGCCCTGGCTGCGTGCTCCACTCCGGCGCCCATCGCTGAGGCGGGCTTGTCAGCGATATCCGGTGTCTTACATTCATCAGGTCAGTCTTCGTCGATTTCTGACCGGGCTTCGTGGTTTTCAAATCAGCTGATAGATCTATCAATCACTTTTAGATGAGCCGGTTGACGGTAGGGTAATTGTGGCCGGTTATGGCATCGCGTCTCCGTAAATGTGTTAAATGCGGTGGAAGATATTATTGGCGTGTGGGCTTTTGCCGCCTCCCGATATCTGCCGTGTCATTGTCCGCTTGCTGTCGCATATTTGTGTCCGGTAGAGATCCTGTCTCGGTGCCTAAGTCGGTATTAGATATTCAATCCAACACATGCCTTCCTCTTAAATTGTTTAGGGATGCGCTGAATTGGATCTTGGGCATATGCGGCTAGCGTTGCGAGCGAATGGGCCCGGTGATTAAGATTGCATTAAATGAAAGTGAGCTGTTAACCCTTTCGTGATCCTTAAACGCGTCGAACGCCCCGAGGGTTTTCGGAACGGAAGCCCGATTTAATGTCGAAGGGGTTCCATGCTTGATGAATGCTGCCCCTTGTTTACAGTAAGTACTTCAGACTCATGTGAGCGTCGGGTCTCGTAAAGTTTTACAAAGCACGGGCCATGGGCGCAGCCCGACGCAGGAAGTGAGGACACTCTCCCCCCCCCCCCCCCCGTAGCTTTATATATTCATCTAATATGCATAGATAGTTCTTAACTATGCTAAGTCGGCGTGGTGTGCCCCCACTGAAATCCCCCTCCTTAAAATACTTTGGTCTGCGCCTCTGCCAGCGGCCACATTTACCTTGCGCGCCATTTCCGTGTTGTGAAAGACCGCAGCCAACAGCGCATTACTGAATCAGTTGAGCCGCCAGTAATTTAGAGCTAGTTGCTTGTGTGTTCCATCTCGCGTCCTGAGCAATACCATCGCAGTTTGCGAAAGTTGGCTCCCAGTTCTTGCCAGCCCCAGCGAGTATGCAGTTGTAAAGTATTGTACTGAAGACGTTCTCCGAACTCGTTATCTAATCGCTTGTCTTCGGTTAGAATTATTCTAAATGCATGGGTCCAGCCATAAATGGGGTCGGGCGGTGCATGCAACTTAAGCAAAGCAATTCCGTAACTTTGCGGAATTGCTTAAGACATTGCAGGCAAAGGTCACACTTAACCTCGATGTAACCTCCCCCAACTTTGGACTAGTGTCGAAGACACTGTCAGATGCCCTCATAAAATATTTCTTAACAGTCTTGCCATAGCGCAGTTAAGAGCATTGTAACGTCTTATCGTCAAACGCGAGTAGGAACGATGCCGTATGAGGGCGCCGTGAATGCAACTGGTAGCGTATGGTTCAAATGTTTTGTTTCGGGTGTATTGTGCCTTTCATTTGACATAGACATTATTAGCATTACGCTTATGTAGTCTTCGTATTGTTAAATCGCAAACGAACTAGCAATGTCGACTATTAAATGAGAAGGCGTATATTGCGTGGACGTGACGCCCTCCGACAGTAGTGGCCACGTACCACTGATGTGCCGGCTTCCCACAGCATCCATGCCGAACGCAAAACTTTGCAAACATAGTGCAGCGCAAAGGGCGAATGTACTGCACCCATGTGCCCGAACATGAACTTATATGCTCCTCAATTTCCACAAAGTGCCACTTTGAGCCCCTTCCCGATTTTGCCCATATAAATGCAAGATGCACATGTATCAGTTTTTTTGTGTTTCAAAAGTCAATGTCGAATATCAGAGGGGAGGTCAGGCTGTTCCTTCCAGAACCCAGTTTGGTCCCTCAGCCGTGATATGGCCCCACCAAATCCCAGAGTAGTGGTCACACTCATGAGTCCCAATGTCTTGAACGGGCAAACCACAATGTTGTGAGGATATTGTTGGAGCAGGGGCGACAACGGCCTTTTTTTAGGTTTCTGTATGTGACCTGCTATGCACCATAATATTGGGATGTTCTCCCAAAATAGAATGAGCCCGACAGGGCTTCCTCCGTTTTGGACCTGAGCAACCTGCTTGCCGATTTGCCTAGCTGGTGGCTTGCTGGTTTTTTCGTTGACATTTTAGCGACGATTGATAAGTGGAATAACCCTGCGCCAAATTGTCGGGCGATATCTTAGGCTCCGCCTATATAACAAGTTGGTAGTTCATAACTAACGCGATCGGTGTCGGTGCTAACAATTAGCCATGCGCTCATTTCGTACGGAAGACTCAAGCGGTGCGTATTGTAATTACGTTAACCTTCTCCGACATGGATTAACAAAGACGCAAGATATACTCAATCTTGGGCTATGGGTTAGTTCTTTGGGGCTTCGGCGATTCACCAGTAAATGACCTCATTTGGGGGGGGGGGAAGGGGAGAAGGCCATCCTAAAAATCCTACCATGCGCTGTAATTTATGGCACTATCACGACCGATGTGGTTTTTAGTGAACCTGGAAGTTTTCAGTCGCTCCTAAAAATCATGTCTTTGAAGGTATAGCGTTTCGTAAGTTACATTTTGTCGTGTTTGGGCTGAGCTAAGGAACATTGTCACGCCTGCCAAACCCCAAAACATGACGTTCAGCACCGCACGTTATATCCGTCTTGGAAGACAGGTAAGGCGTTAGGCCTCCAAAAAACATCTTGAGCGGAATGCGTAACAAGTTACGGCAGTGAAGCATATCTTTATAATGGTGTTTTAGTCCTTGTCCCGGCAGAAAACGACGCTGAGAAGTCGCAGTATTTGGGTTGTTTGAGATGTGTTACTTCGCCTCGGCTGACACCGCGGATGGCGAATATTGCTCCGCTCCGTGTTACATCGTCGGACAAGCCGGCACATCTTAGCCGCAATTGCCCCAATCACCCGCATCATAACTCAGTAATCTGATAAGATTTTTACTCACAACGAACTTCCAAGCATTGTCTCCCCAAAATTTCGCGATTTAAGATCGAATTTTTCGTGAGATATAGGTACGGTTGCAGCCACTCGTTTAAGAGCATGGGAGAGCCTATGATCTGTGCTGTCATGTTCCTGCTCCGTAACCCCTGGTGAATATTTAAGGACAGACCATTGGCGTCATATGGAGAGGGGACGGGGACGGGTAAGGCATATAGGGTCACCAGTCACGATAGCCCAACGCGTATGTACAGTCCAGTCACTTTAAAAGCGCTGAGAGCAAGCAAGGCCTGTGAGTTCTGGTGCGCGGACCCTTCTGTAATGCGGCTCTCTATGGTTTGTGCATAGTTTAAAGCCTGGCACTATCCTCAGAGGCACGACACATATTGCCAAGTTGAGTTTTCCTCCGAAGTTGCTGGAGTGGAGGTCGCTGGTGGAAGCGTGCATGCGTCCGCCGCCGATATCACCGGACCGACTTTTTCGTACCAGCCTTGGGCATGTTTTATTTGGACGCGTCAGCACGCGATGCCCGGCGGCGGAGCCGGCGAGCCGTCCAACTTCTAGTGGCTACCCGAGCGGGAGTACATATCCGCCAAAGGGGAAAACAATCGAGACTACCGATGTCGACTGCATTTATGGTATTTTATTGTACTCGCGTTTTCCGGCGGAATTGGGTCTCAACAATGGGCCTCGCTGACACAAGGTCATAGCGGCGAACTATTCGAGCCGTAGGTCTCAGAGGTCAGTTGTTCCACGACATAAACAGCCTGTGTCTACACGCACGCACCGAAACGACAAACCAGCATTTGTTTCTCACAAGTGAAATCTCAGGCTTGAAGAACGTTAACCCGTGGATGGCATCATCAATCACCTAGATATGCTCTTCATTTGGCCTCTTGAAATCTTGCGATATCTTGCTGCTGCCGCGCTGCAAACGCCCCTATGACGCATTTGCCAAGCGACCAAACACTTGATTCCCGGAAAGAAGCCTAGGCCGAGGAGACCGGTGACATGGGATCAGCGCGATTCGCTGCCACTTCCACTGCTCCCGTACGCGCACGTTTAGGTCCGCTGGCGACGTACGGTCAAAATCAGAGCACGGGTCGGCTAGATTAAGGGTCATATGGGGCGAGATTTTCCTGTCCTCGGCCGGTCATCTGACGACGACGTCGATGGATGAATGCTGGCAAGCGTGAGCCCAGTGCGGACCGGGCTTCACTGCCGCTGATCGGCAAGCATGTCGTGTCGTACTGCGGATGCTAATAGCTGATTTGCGAGGAGGTGGGCCACGCACATTTTTCCAACATGTTCTTGAATTATATCAGCATTTGTGATTGAACACCCCTCCCGACAGGCGGTCACGGTTTTACAAGCTAATTAATGACATTTAAAGGTGCCTTGCGCTATTTTTATGTCATCTACATGTGCATCTATTTATCCGACACGGTTTTCGCACAAGGTTGCAACGTGACCAAAACTGGTCTTCCCCATTCGATTAATATGATAGGGGTTGAGTTTGCAAGCTGGCAGAAAATTGACGCAACACCAGGACCCAGATCTGGATAACCCGTGGCGATATGCGTACAACACGGTTTGGGTGAGAAAGGAATGAGCAGTCGTGTTGGCAAAAAATGTGCCTCACTGCGGGGCACGGAAACTCTCGAACACGGAGCTGGTCACGGACGCTGGACAACACACCGTACATTCGCCGGTTTGTGTTTTTTTTGTCAGGCCATGGCAACCGGAACGGGTAGATTTGAAATCATTTGCGCAGTGTAGTTGATTGCACGTTGTACAAATTACCCACCCAGCTCAGTCCTGTCGTCTGAACCTAAGGGTGCCAGCAGTCGACTGGGAAGTGACCACTGTCGACTTGAAAAGCGTCTCGAGAAGGCATGTTGCCGGGTCGGAGCTGCAGGGGCTTAGACACACTGGTCGTTGGGCTGGTTGGCCCGGTTGCTTAGAGTACTCAACCGCACGCCAACTGTGAAGTGTTTTCATTGGACAGGCTCAGATTCGCCTGGTTTGAGTGATCGTGGGTTAAGTTTAAAGCGAACTCGTATCAAGTCAAAGTTAAGCTTAAAGTACTAAGAATGTGGGTTACCGCTCACCACCGGTCGCTACGTGGGTCCCGACGACATCCTGGCATTGCAGTGAAAGGGTCCCAGTGACTGAG